TTCCAGTGGGAGCTCCTAGGCCAGGACCAGGAGCATTCAGAGCAGTGCCTGGCAGATAGCGAGTGCTGCAGAAATGGGGGTGAGTGTGCCTGACCACGCTGCCATCCTGGCTTCTCTGTCAAGGCCACACAGACACAGGCAGCGCCACGTAGAAGTGCGCAGTACCATGTGAAGGGGATACAATGGCCTTAAGACTGTAGTTGTAGGAGAGACCACTGAAGTGGGGGTGAGGAGAAAGGGGCAGTCCAGAAAGGCTTCCTGGCTTGCTGATGGACTGGACTTTATCCAGGGAGGTTGACTGCCAAAACACCTGGTTTTATGGCTTGACAAATGGGAACTTCTGCTTCTGAGGGGAGGCAAGTTTTCCTAAGACAAACCCTGAAAACTCTACAAAAGTGAGTAGATGTTAAATATCTACTAGCTCTGTGGCGGCGCCTGTGGCTCAAAGGAGTAGGGTACTGGCCCCATATGCCGGAGGTGGCAGGTTCAAACCCAGCCCCGGCCAAAAACTGCAAAAAACCCCCCAAACATCTACTAGCTCCAGTTGTAAAGGCTTGAGCCTGTAAGTCCCAGCTACTTGGAGACTGAGATTGGAGCATTTGGTTGAGGCCAGGAGTGCGAGGCTGCAGTGAGGTATGATCGTACCACCACATTTCAGCCTGGGTGACAAGGTGAGACCTTGTCTCTAAAAAGAATTCAATTAAAAATATTTTTAAGAATTTTTCTATAAATGTTTGCAAATCAGGACTGGAGGGTCCGGTGGCCAGGCAGTAGCTGGTGAGGCTGGGTAACCCTAACCCTGTCCCTCACCCACAGATCCATTTTGCATAATCTGAGCTCATTGCTGCCAGTTCTGCTAAAGCAGAAGCAAAGATGATAAAGAGCTTTAGCTTTCTGTCCAGTAAATATGGGTGTTTCATCCTTCCTCAGATTCCTGGTCCTCCTGGCCTTCCTCTCAAGCCCTCTCACCTCCCTGTTTCACTTAAGTTCTAATCCTAGGAAAACCCCACCAGGAGCACCCTACAGACGGCAAAATCGAGGCTAGAGAAGTTGCATGGTTTTCTCAAGGCCACACAGCCAAGGCGCTGAGCCAAGAGACCGACCAGGACTTCTGATTGGTCTGCAAAGAGCTCCCAAGGTCTCTCCTATGGAGAGAGCCTCTAGCTCCTTAGCTGTCAATAATAGTAATATCTCCCCCAGGGGCTAGTGTGAGGTTCAGAGGAAGCAGTGGATACGAAAATGGCATATAAATTGTCAATTTCCCACAGACATTAGTGTCTGTTACTGTGGTAACCACCCGGCATTTGTGGACTACAATTGCTCTGGATAGCAATAGTTACGTGGCATTTTAATTTAATAGCATTCTTATTTTCCCACCATAAAAGTAATATACATTATGCATATGTCCAAACCCGTCAAATTGTATACATTAAATGTCAGGGGTTTTTTTGTATAGAGATTGTACCCCCATAAAGCTATTAAAAATAATAGACCTTCATTACAGAAAATTCAGAAAACACAGAAAAGTAGAAACAGGAGGAAAATGATTTCAATTACCCTAAAGCAATGTCTATTAACATTTAGGAGAATTCTTTCCAGCTGTTTTTCCCCTCTGCCCAGTTTGTTTGCTTATGATTATTATCACTGGTCTATATAATCAAAGACATTTTGGGTACAATTATATCCTGTTCTTTCTTCCTTGGAGATTTTAATATGGAATAGCAAGAGCTGGAGTCACATCTGAGGCCCCTGCCTGGCTGGGTTCTGGCTCTGGCTTCAGCCCAGAGGTATTTGTGTGTCTTTGGGCCAGGACCGGCTGCCCTGGGAACAGACAGCATTGGGATGGCTGAGACACGGCCCCATTTCTGAGTCTGTATCCAATGGACATTTGTATGTTCCCATGTTTCCTTGTCCTGCCCTTTTAAGTTTAATGACGTGTGCAACTGTCTTAGGGGTTGAATTTGTCTGGCCCATCATCATCCTGCCCCTAGCCACTTTCTGTCTCTCCTCCCTCTTGCCATCAAAGCTGGCATTTGCCCATGGCTCAGAAGGCCAGTGCATTCAGGAGTGGCCTCAATTGGCCTAGAGAGAAAAAATAAAAGGCATTTGTTGGATAAGCATCTGTGGTGTGTCTGCTGTGTGCAGCACCCTTTGGGCCTTGAAGGTGCAGCTGTGAGTCCATAGGCCAAGCCTCCTGCCCTTGTGGGGCTAACTCTGGCCAAGGGAGACAGCCAACTGGCAATATTAGCCTTACAGAAAACTTCAGAGCAGGCTCATGGGAGATCAGGGCGTTCTGGATTGGGACATGGGGGTGTGGAGAGCAATTTTAACAAGGTGGTCCAAGGTCAGAAGATAACAGGTGAGCAGAATTGAAAGAACAGGAAGTTGCTGTGCTGCTCTCCAGGCAAAATCATTCCAGGCCAAGAGAATAAGTATTGAAGACAGAAAGAAGCCAGGGCTTTTGAGACAGCAAGGAGCCTAGAGTTCAGAGGGGATGCACAAGGGGGAGGGCAGTAGGTGAGGCTGCTGGAGAGGCAAGAGTGTATGAATTTCCTTTTGCTGAGTTAGAAACACAAGAGCTTATGCCTTTGACAATAAACATTCTTTTATCCTGCATCTGTAGATTCTGTGATCTAGGCTTGGCTGCACTTGCCCAGCTCTGTGGAGCCCTGATGGAGGCTGGACTTGGCCAGGGCAGCTCTGCTGTTCTCACTTCCTCTCCTCCCTGGGGACCAATGGACTAGCCTGGACAGGTCCTCCTGGCAATGGCAGAGGCACAAGATGGTAAACCCCAGGGTATCAGCTCCTTCCAGTCTCTGCTTGCAGCTCATCTAATTGCTGTCCTGTAGGCCACACCACATCACAGGGACAAGCCCATAGTCAAGGTTGGCAGATTACTCTGCTCCATGTGGGAGGCACTGCCAAGCTAAGCTGCATGGAGAAGGACGTAGGTGCCGGGAGGGGTGAGGGTTTGTCTCTGGACGTGGTTGGCCTCCAGGCGCTGTTCTGCTACTCTGAGACCTTTGCTTTACTATGGGTATGAAATGGGGAGCCACAGAGGGCTTTGAGCAGGGGACTGAGTGCTTAGTCCTGGGCTTCAGCAGCTCCCCACTGCTGCTCCTTGAGGCTCGATTGCAGCTATCCCAGAGAGAAAGCCAAAGCCCTTAGGAAGCTATTGCAATCTTCCAGGTGAGAGGGAAGAAGCAGCTGGTCTCCAGGCCTGCTGTGAAGCCTTGCTGGGTTGGGGATTGTTGAGCAGAGAGAGACACTAGGACTCAGAACTTTAACCACCACTGTCGGAGTAGAGTATGGGAGACTGAGGTGGGTGGATTGCTTGAGCTCAGGAGTTTGGAACCAGCCTGAGTAAGAACGAGACCCAGTCTCTACCAAAAATAAAAAATTAGCCAGGCGTTGTGGTGAGCACCTGTAGTCCCAGCAACTCGGGAGGCTGAGGCAAGAGGATCACTGAGCCCAAGAGTTTGAGGTTGCTGTAAGCTATGATGCCACGGCACTCAACCGAAAGCGACAAAGTGAGACTCTGTCTCAAAAAAAAAAAAAAGTAGAATATGAGGAAGTGAAGTCACCTAATCATCCTTCCTAGGACTGAAGGGGAGTGGACAGATCTGTGGTTTGTTTGAAATCAGAGCATTTGGAGGCTATGAGTCCAGGTCAAGAATTTGAAGGACAGACGCTCTGTTCACAGGGCTGGGCCCTGCTCTGCTCCTGTCCACTGCTGCTGCTTGGGCATATGGGGACAGGGTGTAGAACCTTTTGTGTTTCAAGATATACTGGACTTGCAATTTTTTTAGATATAGGGAATCTTTCACTTTTCAAATATTAAGAATGAATTCAAATTAAAAATAAAGATCATTTCTGGAAGCTTGTCTGTGGAAACAGCCCTCAGCCTCGGGTTAGTGAGCTGTCTAGAGCAGGCTCAGCTCCAGAGGGGCAGATTTGCCTCTTCCAGGCCAGAGTCCTGTCTTGACTCTGCTCTCCCCTACTCCTAGGGGTGACCCCTGGAATGTATGGGTCAGTCATCTCTGTGCCTTGTAGAACTCAAGAATGTCAGTGCTGGAAAGGGTGTTCCCTTTGTTTCCAGATGCAAAACCTGGGGCCTGGAGATGGGGCTGTTGTTTCTCTCCAAACACTTACCCGTGAAGGAGAGCCAGCCTGGGGTGCCAAAGACTCCAGGTATTGGGGTGACCCCAGAAGGAAAAGTCCCTGAGAACCTTGAGGAAACACGGTTGGGATGAGGGATCGGGGAGGGATCAGATGCCAGGTACCTACAGAGCTGAGCTCAGCTGCTAGGAGCACAGGCTAGGACAAGATCCGGAGGCCTGTCTGGAGGTGGGAGCCCAAGCTGGGCTCCGAAGGGGAGCGGCTAATTCACCCCAGCCTTAAACTGTGTGTGAAGCTTTGAGAAAGCCTCCAGCAGACTCTGGGGAGGGCTGGCCTGTCTGAGGTTGTTGGAATACAGGAGCCTATTGAAGGTTCGAGACAGGAGGGAGAGGCCAAGTCAAGGTGGCTTTAGGTGCCTCCTTCAGTCCCTGTGGAGCTACTGTGGAGTCTGCTGGCCAGTGCCCAGGCTGCCCCCCAAAGCAACCTCCCCAACCCTTTTTCCCACATGCCTCCTTGGAAGCATTACCTACTGCCATCCTGTGGGGGTGGCCCTTCCCTGCCTGGTCTCTCATGCCAGGCTCCCCATGTGGACCCCAGGCCTGGAACACAACCACCTGTCTGTCACAGGGCTGTGGGCTGGGGGGGAGGGGGAGGGCTTAGTGAGTCTCAGGTTTGGTCACTTGCTCAGCACCTGAGGAAGCCTCCAGAATGCTTCTTGGAGGAAGGGCCGGAGGGTAGAAGACAGGGGAGGGGGAGGGTGTTCTATAGCGAGGAGGGGGCAGGAGGGGCTAGAGGGCCCAGCAGGCCTTGGGAGGGGCCGGCATGGAGCTGCTGATGGCACAGCATCTGCTTCTAACAAGCTGCATGTCCTGTCTCCCCAGCTGACATCATCTCTACCGTTGAGTTCAACCACACTGGAGAGCTGCTGGCCACAGGTGACAAGGGCGGCCGAGTTGTCATCTTCCAGCGGGAACCAGAGGTGTGATGTAATGTTCAGGGTCTTGGGGAAGAGCCAGTGGGAGGCAGAGTCAGGTGTGGGGTTGTGGCAGGACGGGGTGGGGTCTAGAGGCAAGAGGAGTCAAGTGGAGGTGGGGTGTGGTAGGAGGTGGGTGGGGTGGGACTGTAGGACTCCTGAACCCACAGATTCCAGGATCACAGCTTAGAGGAAACTGCCCTCCCTCTACCAGAGTGTCCCAGGGGTGGAGGGAAAGGGGTGCTCTGGGATGTAGGGGTGGTTCTACTGGGCCAGAGGTGAGAGTCCTTTGGATGGGCTCCCAAAGCCTTGATGTTTGTGGATTGCTCCCTGCACCTCATTCTCTCCTAGACCCCTATGGTGGAGCTCAGAGGAGTCAGCTGCTGTCCTGGCTCTGCCTCCAATTAAGCCTTCCTCTGCCTAGGTGACCTGGCATTGTCCTGGTCAGAGTGGGGAGGGGAGGGGATCTACTTACGTCCAGCTGGCTCTTGCCCTGGGCCCCTGCCCCTACTCTGCACCTCCAGCCCCACCCCCCAGGGGGGTTCATTGCCCAACAGAATAAGGAGCAAGATGGCAGTGGCCTGGGACAGCCTGCCCAGGGGCACATCTCTGGACCACTAAAAGACCCTCAGGATGAACACCTGCTGCATTCAGACGCCTTGCTAAGTATTCTCCATGGACTCCTCTTTGCTTACTTGGGGGATAAGGGTCCATGCCTATTTTACGAGTGAGGGAACTCAGATAAGCCCCCAGCTAGCAACAGCAGACCAGGATTGAACCTGGGCCTGCCTGACTCCAAGACCAAGGTCTGTAACTTACACATCACCTGCCTCAGAGGGTCATTGCCCTCAGCAAACAAGTCATGGGACATCCCTGAAACTAGGAACCGGGTGGGGGGTGAGGGGTTGTGACTGCAGGGAGTGGGAAGAAGAGCAGTCGTAGTCTCATCCGTCCTACATTCACTCCTGAGCTGGGGCCCCACAGCTGACCGTCCTGGAGCCTGACTTTACCTTGGTCACTCACAACCGTCCCTCACGACAAGCCTATGGTGCAGTTAGGTGCTATTATTCGCACATTTTACAGGTGACGAGCAGAGCCTGGAGGGTTCCACACAGTTTACAGGGACACCTGCTAGCAAACAGCTGCTAATCAGTTACCCAGCACCGCGCTGTGGTGGGCACAGGTGATGTCACACAGGGGTAGGGAACCTGTGCTTTGGGTCCACATGTAGCCCTCTGGATCCTCGAATGTGGCCTTTTGACTAAATTCCAGCTTCACGGAACAAATCCCTTTATTGAAGGGATTTGTTTTGTCTTTGTACTCTGGAAGGCTGAGGTGGGAAGATTGTTTGAGCTCAGGATTTTGAGACCAGCCTGAGCAAAAGCAAGAGCCGGTCTCTACTAAAAATAGAAAAAGTAGCCAGGTGTCGTGGCAGGCACCTGTAATCCTAGCTACTCAGAGGCTAAGGCAGGAGGCTCACTTGAGCACAGGAGTTTGAGATTGCTATGAGCTATGATGTCATGGCCCTCTACCAAGGGCAACAAAGTGAGACTCTGTTTCAAAAAATAATGATAATAAATAAATAATAAAAGGATTTGTTCTATAAAATTCGGATTCAGTTGAGGGGCCACACATGGCTTTGAGGCTACAGGTTCCCCACCCCTGCTGTAGAAAACCAAACCTTCCTTTTGCCGGACTGAAGAAAGAAATTAAATTGGTAGATGTAAGTTTCTTGATTTTGAATTTTTCTCTTTTTTTTTTTATTCTGGTGCCACTGACCTTGGGCTTAGCGAGTGCTCCTGTTAGATGACGTGACTCACAGGCAAAAGTATTGAAAAACTTTAAAGCTTTTCAAAGGCAAGCCAAGGATAGGAATATAAAAATAGCTACTTTTGGAAAGTTAAGAGAAAAACTAGAAATTCTGCTTGGTTGAAAGTCTTCACTGGTTCCTGGTTGTGGTTTTATGTTGTGTAAACTTGAATTGTCTCCCAGGAAAATGGTCTCTGGTGCCTGCAGTGGACCCAGTGCTTCACGCCAGGGTCTTTATTACAAGGAGCTGGGCACGGTGAGGAGAGTCGGGAGGTGATCTGGCGACACATTGCAGCTTGCTGTGCTCTGGTGGGAAGTGTGCTCACTTATCCCCCGAGTCAGGCCTAAGTTGTACACATGCCCTTTCTGGAGGTCGCATCCTCTCTGAGCCTTTGCTTGCTCATCTGTAATATGGGGTGAGTCATGGGACCCACCACAGAGGAGGCCTTGAGGGCAGAATGAGCTGAGGCACAGGAAGCACCCAGCTCAGAACCATAGTCAGAGCTCAGTAGGTCTGAGCTGGCTCAGGTGTTCTTGCTTATTGGACTGATGACAAGGCAGAGGGTGGCCACAGCCACACAGCCTGTCGTTATGGGCCATTTAAAATGCAGAGTTAGTTTCCTTTGACCCTTGAATTGGATCCCTGGGCACTGCTGGCACCTGGTGCCCACGGCTGTCAGGCCCTCCAAGGTTTTGGCCATTGCCCTTATCTGTCGTGGTACTCAGACCCCTTCTCCGGGGTTTCCTTGCAGAGTAAAAATGCACCTCACAGCCAGGGCGAGTATGACGTCTACAGCACTTTCCAGAGCCACGAGCCAGAGTTCGACTATCTTAAGAGCCTGGAGATAGAGGAGAAAATCAACAAGATCAAATGGCTCCCGCAGCAGAACGCCGCCCACTCGCTCCTGTCCACCAATGGTGAGGCCTTGCCGGCTGCCAGTGCTGGGTACAGGTTGTAGCCGCTTGTTAGCAGATGCTTGTTTGGATATTTTCTTTTCTTTCACTTTCCTTTCCTTTCTTCTCCTTTCCCTTTCCCCTTCCTTCCCCCCTCTCCTCCCCTCCTCTCTTCCTTCCCCTCCCCTCTGCTTTCCTTTCCCTTCTCTTCCCTCTCTCCCCTCTCCTTCCCTTCCCTCTCTCCCCTCCCCTTCCCTTCCCTCTCTCCCCTCCCCTTCCCTTCCCTCTCTCCCCTCCCCTTCCTTTCCCTCTCTCCCATCCCCTCCCTCCCCTTGCCGTTAGAGATGCTCTCCATTGCTCAGGCTTGTCCTGAACTCCTAGCCTCAAGTGATCCTCCTACCTCAGCCTCCCAGAGTGCTGGAGTTACAGACAAATCCTTGTTTTTTACATCATTTATCTCATGAGGATTTTTCTGGGTCTTTAGAATGCCTAAAAAATATTTGCATGGCATGTATCTCACATCAAATGAATATGCCAGGACTTCCTCACCTCTCCATGTGGCTGGACCCAGGTTGTTCTTCCCAATGTAGACGGCATTGCCACATCCATCTTTGGGAACACTGTCTTTTAGGGTGAAGGGATCTTGAGGTTTCCGACAAGGGGCAAGGCCAGCAAATATAGTGATATGGCCTCCTGATCACTCTGCCTCAGGGAGGGACATGTGCCCCCAGATCCCTAGCTTTCCATCATCTGCTCTGAGGCAGAGGCCTGGGGTCATCCTGCTCCTGGGCAGTGGACAGTGGCTGTCCACAGTCCCTCACTCTGCTCACCTTCCTTCCTTCTTATGGGTCAGAGGAGCCTGGGCTAGGATTGGACACACTTTCTCTGACCTCTCTGCTAAGCGATGTATCCCTGCTATGACATCCTCCAGGCACCAGGCTTGCCCCCTGTGCCAGGTTCCCTAAGGGTGGTGTATGTGTCACCTAAGGGGTACCTGGCACAGGGTCAGGCTCAGCCCAGGAGCCCACGGGACCCTTCCCTTGTGCAGGAGCAGAGTCAGTGACACTGTGTCCTCCCTGAGGACAGCATACCTGGGGATCCTCTGGTGAGTTCTAAACCTCAAGCACCTTTTAAACAATCATTTAAGAGGGACATGTCTGCCTCTCTGGAGGAAAGATCATCTTTCCAAGCTACCCTCCCCTCAGAGCTTCCCATCCCTGGTTTTGAGTCCTAGAGGCAGCCTTTGGTATCAATTGTCGTGGGGGGTGGTGGTGGTGTTTGTTTTGGCTAGTGCAGTAGTAAGGGTTCTCCAGTTAGGCAAAACCAACAGGGCCAGAGAGAGGGCTTGTGACTGTGGAGGCTTAGCGAGTCCAAAGTCTGCAGGGTGCCGACCAGGGGGGGTCACAGTTTGAGTTCGAAGGCCGCCTGTCGGTAGAATCCCCATTTCCTGGGGAAGGTGCATCACTATCTAATGGACTGAAGTGGATATTCTGTTTTCTGTTCTGTTGGTTAATTTTGTGTCTTGTTTTACTTTGTTCTATTTTTAAAGATAAAACTATCAAATTATGGAAGATTACCGAGCGAGATAAGAGGCCCGAGGGATATAACCTAAAGGACGAGGAAGGGAAACTGAAGGACCTGTCCACAGTGACGTCACTGCAGGTGAGACACAGAGCTCGGAAGACTGGCAAGTGGGAAGCAAGCTTGTGCTTTTTTTTTGCAGTTTTTGGCTGGGGTAGGTTTGAACTTGCTACCTACAGCATATGGAGCCGGTGCCCTACTCCTTGAGCCACAAGCGCCGCCTAAGCTTATGCTTTTTTAATAAACAATGAGGATTTTAGGACTTGAAGGGCCTTTGAGCGCCAGAGTCAGGTTCACGCCCTGGCCAGGCTGCTTGCTCCTTGGGTGTCTACCAGTGTCTCCCTGCTCCACATCTGGGTTTCCTCACCAGCACAGTAGAGGCGATCATGTTTCTTCTGGGCATCTTGTGAGCATGAGGTGTGTGCGTGTCTGTAACGTGCTTTCTCCTGCAGCTGAAGGTGCGGAGCAGGTCAGATAATCCTTTATTATATGAAAGGGGAAACCAAGGCCTATGGAGGGGCAGAAACTCACCCGTAAAGCCACTCAGCTAAGTGAGGGGCAGAGCCAAAAGGAAAATCAGTCAGCAGGGTTTTGTGACTCCTGAGCCCTTTCCTGAGGGGCAAGAGGAAGCCTGGAAATTGTGAGGCTTAGAGCATTTGCAAGGGTCCAGCCCAGAATATCGCAGTGGCTATAAAAGACCTGGGAAGGTTAAGTTACAAAGCGCAAACTCTTGTCCCTGATGAAATTAAAAGGCAAAAGCACCCTAGCAGAGAGACTGAGACAGAGAAGAAAGAGTTCTGGAGTCATGAGACCCGGATTCAGATCCCACATCTGCTACTTCCTGACTTTGGGCGAGGCACTTGGATCAAGAATGGACACTTGAGGAGGGAGCAGTGTCTTCCCAGCACACTCACCTTAGTGCCTCATTTAATGCTCCCAAACCCTGTGAAGTGGGCACTGGGATTACCATCTGAATTTTCAGGTGAGGAGCCTGATAGCTGAGCCCCAAACCAGGAGAGCCTGGCTGCAGAGCTGGCATCCCAGTCCCCTCATGAAGGGGGAAGAGGCCCCATAGGCGAGCGTAGGATGGGGGATGGTGTCATGCCACCCGGACTCTGTAATGTTGCTCTTTCCTTCTCCAGCAGGACAGGAGGCACCCAAAGCCACCTTGTTCATCCCCAGCTTCCATAACTGTGCCTGGAACATGTGTTTTGTACATGTTTGTTGAAGGGGATGCTGGTGCCCAGCTAATTCCAAATTATTCTGACTTGAGCACCTGTGTACCCTACTTTGCTCTAGGCACTGAGAGGCCATAGTGAACAGGGACCCTGGTGGCTGCTGATGGTCTGAGTCTTGGTTCCCCGAGCGCCTGGGTTGGGCTGCTCAGAGTGCTGATGAAGGAGCTACCATGTTTCCCTGAAAATAAGACCTACCCCCCAAATAAGCCCTAGCAGGATTCCTATGCATTTGTTAAATATAAGTCCTACTCCATAATAAGACCTAGTGATGGGCGTGGCTATGCAGCTTATCCGCATAGCCACGCCCTGCATTTCAGCACTGAGTGGTAAGGAAGATTGGAATACCTTTTATCTGCCACAGCTCCTTTCTCCGAGCCGTTCACACTTGCATGGGTGCGCATGTGGTAACCGCAGTCACAAGCATCCTATTGCTCGCAAGCGGACACGGCTGAAAGGGGAAAGGAGTTCATACATCACTAGCGCCAGCCCCACCAACAAGGTTGGCTCCCCCTGTCAGGTTCCAGAAGATGACTTAACTGTATTTTAATGTAGATTGTTGTATTATACTTAGTAAAAAGAAGACATCCCGTGAAAATAAGCCCTAATGTGTCTTCTTGAGAAAAAATAAATATAAGACAGTGTCTTATTTTCGGGGAAACATGGTAGTGTCGGGAGGTGATCTGCTTCCCATATTCTAGGGCCGATTTGAGAAGGCCAGGCTCAGATCCTGTGAGCTTCCTGCCTCTCCCAGTTGGTGCCTTCACTAGGAGTGTACTGCTCTCATTGAGAAGTGGTAGAGGCTGACTGGACAGGTAGCTTAGCTCCTCTCCAGGCGCACACAAACTGCTGGCAAATCCACTTGCTGCTAGTCTGTGGCTGTGGCCGTTTCTCTGCTCCTTGCCTCAGCTTCCTCACCAGTAGAACGGAGATGATAACTTGTTTCACTGAACCAACTTAGCAGGCTCACATTGCCCAGCCGCAAGCACCCTTCCCCAGAGAGACACCACAGACAAGTTTGCTAAGCTCCCAGCCGTCGTCAGGAATATAAAGCGGTAATCAATGCTGTTCTCAAGAAGGAGAAATAAATATGTAAACACGCTGGCCTCTAAATGACTGGCAAATTGCTCAAATAAATTCTGAGGAAGCGGGGAAGACAATTAGCTTCCGTGTTGAGTAATGAGAGGACTGGTAGCCCAGCTCCCAGACAGTACACGAAGGTTTCAGCTGGAAGAAGGGCTGTAATGATCACTTCCTGATCACCTTCAAACACCTAGTGTTTGAAGCGGCAGCTCATGGGAATCCTGTTTATTTCTCTCCCAACACTGGGGATTTTTCTCTGTCAAACAGATCCCAAGACACTTAGCTGTGTACTGCACTGAAGGAGGCAGGGGGAGGAACTGTGGTGCCCTGGTCTGTCCTCCTGCTTGTCCCTCGTTTGTGTTCTATTTTCCCTGAGCCCCCCAGCCCCATGCGGATTTCCGCCCAATCTGCACAATTAACAGTCGAGGCAGCTGCTATTTACTGAGGAGCTGCTTGCCCTGGCCCCCAGGCTGGGTCCTTGGGGTCCTAGAAGTAAGCAAGGTAAAATTCGGTCCCTGCCCCTACAAGGGTTCCCAGACCCTAAAGAAACAGACACAGAATCAGCATCACACCGGTGGTCAGTGCTATGAGATTCCCCAAGAGGCCTTTCTCTACCTTGTCTTTTTTGTGAACTCCTGTTCATTCTTTACAACCCTACTACTCTTTACCTTTTTTTTTTTTTTTTGCAGTTTTTGGCTGGGGCTGGGTTTGAACCCACCACCTCTGGCATATGGGGCTGGTGTCCTACTCCTCTGAGCCACAGACACCACCCTAGTCTTTACCTCTCGAAAGCCTTTCTACACAAGCCAGAAGAAAATTGTACTTCCCAGTGCACTCTGGCCTTTGGTATACAGCACTGTTCTGTGCTCAGTGTTTACGCATCTGTCTTCCCGCCCTCCCCTAACTTAAGACTGTGTCTTCTGGAAGGGGAGGTGGTGCCTGTTTTATTCTGAAACCACCAAACCTTTAGGGCAGATTTCTTTTCACTCTTTTTTTTTTTTTAATGTCTTTAATCTAGTTTGGGGCATGACAATAAGTGGCTGCCACACTGGTGAACTGTCCCAAGGCTTCTGGGAGAAAATAGTGTTGCTGGAAAGAGAGACGGGATAGGCTGAGATGCCAAGACTTTGTCAGTGATGTTCCAAGCCCCTCCAGGGCAGCTGGGCACGTCTGTCTTCTGAGAGTCCAGGGATCCCCAGAGGAGCAGTGGCTGCTCTCAGAAGGAAGGACAGGTACATGGCAACATGCACAGGGAGGGCCCCTCCCCTCCCAGGCCTGCAACCTAGAAGCACACAGAGACAGCAAGGCAAGAACCAGAGCCAACAGGCCCGCACACCAGTTCTGCACACACGCATGCACTCATGTACACTCATACACACACACACTGATGCCCTCATGCATGAGAGAATCTCACGTGGGCTGCAGAGCTGTGCCTGCAGCAAAGGAGCTCAGTGCTCACAGCTCCATGGAAGCTGCCACCTGCCATCTTCCTCCCCTGTGAGCTCAGGGACACAGCACATTCATTCACTCGCCCATTCACTCATTCATTGAAGGGCCTCTATGTGCTGGCCCTGAGCCAAGAACTAGAGAGACAGAGAGAAACCAGAGAAGATGCATCACTCAGTCAACTGGAGAAACAGGAGCAAACAACAGCCCAGGACTGTGACAGGGCAGTGGGGGCCCGGGGGGTTGGCGTCAGGGGAGGTCCCACATCGCCTGAGTCTCACCACAAAGCCTATTTCAGGCCCCTTCTCACATCCCCTCCTGGGTGTCCCTCTGGCCGGGCACTAGCGTGCTGCCTGAACCTGGGCCTCTCATCTATTTTGTCTTCACACGACTGTCGCTACCTGAAATCTCTCTCGCACATTTGTGCACCTATTTTCTTTGTCCTTGTCTTGAGTCCAACCAGTCTGCCACAGCCTGCCCTCACCTAGTGTGGCTGGATTCACCTGATTCCATGTGGTGACTGTGGCCCTGTTCTGCCACCCTGCACTTAACTGATGAAGGTCTGTGTAGCCCATCCCCGGAACAACTTCTGCCTCCACCCCAGTGCTACCCTTGCTGCCTCTCTCAGGTACTGTTCCCGTTGCCCCTGTAGCACCCCTGCCTGGGGCTCACTCTTGGACATCTGCAGACACCCCAGGTGTCAGAGGCCTGACCACTCCTAGCCACCGTATCAGGAGGTGGAGGAGGCCCTCACACAGCTGAGACATCACAGTGCCAAGCATTAGGCTAAGCGCTTGAGCTGCATCAACTCATGGAATCAATGAGAAGCCCCTGGCACCACTGTTACCCCCTTTTACAGAAGAGGAAACTGAGGCCTAGGGAGGTGAAGCCCCAGTGACGGTGACAGCTGGCAAGAGCCCACCCCTTCCTACCACAATACCCTCAGGGGTGGTAATACCTGGCCATAGCCTTGGCTCTGTCACTACCTAACTCTGAGATTCCACACAGGAGTCTGGTTCCCTGTGGCATCAGTCTGGGATGGCAGTACCTGTCTCCATAGAAGAGGTCAGAGGCTGTGTCTGTCTGTCTGTCTGTCTGCACCTCTAAAGACCTCACAGTCACTGGAATGAACTGGGCCCCGAGGCACACTGCAGTGTGTGATGAGAACTCCAGTAGGGGGGGTGGCGCCTGCGGCTCAAAGGAGTAGGGCGCCGACCCCATATGCTGGAGGTGGCAGGTTCAAACCCAGCCCCAGCCAAAAGCTGCAAAAAAAAAAAAAAAAAAAAGAGAGAAAGAGAACTCCAGTAGGAACGGGTACAATGTGCTGGGGTGAGCAGAGCACAAGACACCTTGCTGTTGCCTCTGGATGTTGAAGGAGGAGTCACAGTTCTATAGGAGTAAAAGAGGGTGAGTGTTCCAGGCAGAGGGGGTGGGAGGAAGAAAGGCCCAATGTCTGATGCCATCACAGGGACCCCTGTCACCAACCCTTTGAAATGAGTTTGTATGAGTCAGGCCAACTCAGCAGCTGTAACAAAAAACCCTTGCTTCCAGGGCTGAACACAGAGATGTTTTTTTCACTGTGGACAAGCCCGCTGTAGGTGCTTCAGGTTGTCCATGGCTCTGTTGCAGGTGCCTTGCATCCACATCCGTGTGCCTTCATCCCTGAGGCTTGGGTCCACACCTTCCAGGAGAAGGCACGTTCACTGCTTGCTCACATTGCACTCACTGCACTCTTTGCTCAGATCCCATTGGTCAGAACTAGGTATGCCCAGGTGCAATGGCAGCTGGGAAATGTGATTGCCATCTGGGTAGCCAATTCCCAGTGACAGCACTATATAATGGAAGGGAAGCACTAAGGTTTAGGGGACAGTCAGCAGCCTCTGCCACAGTACTTTTTACTCCACGTTAGAGAGGAGGAGATTGGGGTGCAGAGGGTTTGGTCTCTCATTCACTGGGGGTCAGCATCTGGATGAAGGAGGCATCCTTCCTGAAGGCCAGGTGGTCAGTGGGCAACTGCCAGCTGCCACCACCTAATACAGGCCATGCAGTCAGGATGGACGCCCACTGCAGTGTTCCACCTCCAGTGTAGATGCCCCCACACGGCCTCTCCACCTCTGCAGGTGCCTGTGCTGAAGCCCATGGACCTGATGGTGGAGGTGAGCCCTCGGAGGATCTTTGCCAACGGCCACACCTACCACATCAACTCCATCTCCGTCAACAGCGACTGTGAGACCTACATGTCCGCAGATGACCTGCGCATCAACCTCTGGCACCTGGCCATCACCGACAGGAGCTTCAGTATCCTTCACTGCAGCCCCACTGCCATCGCCCATGGGGAGGGCTTACAGGCTGGGGGGCGGGTGGGCTGGTTTGGGGGCTTCTGTTTTGTTAAGCTTCTTAAGTGAGGTGCCTTCTGGCTCATGGCATATGAGATCCAGATATGGAATCATACATTACATCTATTTCTGAAAACTTAAAAATCTGGGTGGCTGAGTCCTGCATTTGATCCGGAGTGGCTCAGATCCCCATCACACTGGGGTCCCACCAGAGACCAGGAAGGAGATGGTGAGTCCAGGGTTCAACTGCCCTGGAGATGGAATGGCTGGCCCACACTAGACGGTCTGCTGAAGAGTCTTTGGGGCCCAATCCAGGCTGCATCCATGTTGGTGAACAGCACTGGGGTCCTGCCTAGGGCTTAGGGTGACAACAGTGTGTCAGAAGCCCAGCTGGATTAGGGTCTTCTGTTAGGAGACCCTAGAGGGCACCCATTGGTTCTGATCAGCTCTGCGTCAGGGCAGGCTAGGGGCAATAGCACTGAGCAGGCCTACGGAGCAGTAAGGAAAGAACTGGTGATACAATAGTGTTGGCCTGGGGATGTGTGAGGCTCAGCCCACCAGGGCTTTCTGTAGATAGGCAGGCAGGTCGTTAAGGTGTCACCATTCTGCAGAACAATAATAATCACAATAATAATAGTACACAGCATGGCTGTTGTGCCGGGTCTGTGCCTTATATCAACATGCATTAAATTTAATTCATTTCATCTTCACAGCACCTTATGAGGCAGGTACCATCATGATCTCTCTGTATAGATGAGGAAACTGAGTCACAAAGAGCCCAAGGGAACCTGCTCGAAGCTCATAGCCAGCAGGTGTCAAGTTGGCGTGCAAACCCAGGCCTTCTGGCCCGGAGTCCCTACTTCTACCCTCTGCATCAGCTGCTCTTTGTGAAAGGTGCCTCTGGTGTGTGATGAGGTGGTGGGAGCCTTTGTGAACTCTGCTGAGCTCCAGCGCCGGCAGCCCTGGTCACCCTGAGCTGAGGCAACTCAGCCATTGCCACAAGCAGCTCCTGACAGTGGATGCCAATGCCTGCTACTGTGTCTCACGGGTTCAGTCTGTACCCTCCAAGCAGAAGCCAGGACCTGTTGAGGGAGTGAGGGAGCAGAAGGAAACAATGGGGGAAGGAGGGAAAGAAGGTAACAAATGGCTTTGACGGGCTGAGAATGGCCAGGGAGACCCTTAGGAATCAGGAGGAAGGGAGCTGAGAAAGGCTCGGAGCAAAGTATCCAACGTTCCCTGAGCCTGGCCAGCGGACTGGGGGGCAGATGTATGGGCTTCAGAGTCAGGAAGTCTCTGTGTGACCCCTACCCCTGTCTGTGACCTTGGGTGAGGATCCCCCTTTCACCAAGCCTTGGTCTTTTTAGCAACCCCGTGGTGCTGTAGTGTGCACTGTCAGTAAGCTGACCCTCCATTCAGATAGGAAGTCCTGTGAGCCCACGTGTACTCAGTGCTCTGAGCATCAGTTGGCTAAGAGTTGTTTTCCTACAAGGGCATTCGATGCCTTAGCATGTCGGAGAGCTTCAGGCACAGGTGGATCCAGGAGCAGACTGCTCTCTTGGTCGTTTGCTTCTGGTCTTTGCTCTGGCTACAGTCACAGGCATCATGTGGTGGTCAGTGGCCACCAGCAGCTTGGGCCTGGTCTCAGAATAAAGTCCAGAAGAAAAGAGTCCAGGTCTCTCTGCTGTCCTACCAAGACCCTAGATGGTACCCATCAGCTCTGGGCCTTAGGCACCCTCTATGTATGTGTGTTTGGTGGAGGGAGATGCAGCACTCTGATTGGCCAGGCTGGACTCAGGTGCCCCTCTCTGGCACAGAGGGGGTAGTTCTGCCCCCAGCATGGGGTCTATGTGTGAGAGAGGGGCTGCCCAGGTGTTGGGGGCTGTGCAAACAGATGCCCAAAACCTGAGGCTATAGTCTACAAATCGGATAATGTTATATCCCATTTTACAGATGGAGAAATGGAGGCTCGGGAGAGCAGGAGGCTGGCCTAAAGTCTCCAGCTGTTTGGGGCAGAGGTGGGACGTGTGCTCAGGCCTCCTTGCCCTGGTCCAGTGCTTTTGCCCTGCCCAGTACTGTCCACTGAGCACTGGGACAGTGGCAACCACCCTCCTGGAGCTTTGACTTCCTCATACCAATCCCATTTCTCTCTTTGCACTGCTGTAAGGATATGATGATACCATGGATTCTGAGACCCTTTAGAACTGTAGAGTCCTGGAAATTTAGAAGGGAGGGTACTTCATTTGTTCATTAATTTCTTGGCACCTCTCTTGTCCCAGGCCCCATGGGGATGAATGAAAGAAACTCAGTCTTTCCCTGGAGGGCCTCATGGGCCACTGGGAACACAGCCTGATGTGGGCTGTTAAGGAATGTAATCAGAGATCCCTGCAAGCTGTTGTGGGCTGCAGAGAAGGAGAGAGAATGGGATGCGGGTAGGAAGCTCCGTGGGCTTAAGGAGGCTGCCCAAGATCATGGGTGGGCAGGAGGGCGAGGCCACCCAGCCAGTGGTATGTGTGGTGGACTCTTCCGGGCCCCTGTCATTCACATGGCCCCTCACAGCTGTCACTACCTCTGCATGCCATGTGTTCTTTAACTTACTTTTCCTATTTTTCTAGTTTGTATTCATTTTCTTTAAATTGCTTTATTTTTTACTAAATAACTGTTTTTTGGGAGGAAGTTTAACTTCAATACCATAAGCTAAAGTAAAACCTGTCACCTACCATAAATAGGAGGGAGCCAAATCAATGGTAGTAAGATCTATCCTCAGCCCTGTCCCGTAGGACCGTCCTCTCTTTCCACCGCACAGAGTGGTAACTGCAGCCACACATGCCTGCTGAGTGCCTAAGTGTGGCTATATTAACATTGTTAATCTAATTTAATTTTAACCAATCCAAACTAGAAGTTAATTAAATAGCCATGTGGGGCTAGTGGCTGCCGACCTGGACAGTTCAGACTTGGCGTGTTGCCTGCTAGACCTGGGGTCAGGTTCTTTCTGCAGAGATGAAGCAAACATCTGTCGGACTGTGAGGGGGGAGAGCACAGAACCGTGACTTGCTCCCTTGTTCGCCAAAAGGGTTGACTCCTTTTTGGTGCGTGTGCCTGGGGTTTGCTACTGAAGGCTGTGCCTAGCTGCCATCTAACTGCTTCCATGGAACAGGAAGCCATCAGCACACTGAAAACAGGGGGCATCACCAGCCAGCTGTGGGGGACTGGATTCCAGCAGACAAGCTTTGCAGCCGGGGACCAGCAAGGAGGTGCAGGGAAAGAGTTAGGGGGAGGCTAGAAGGTGGCCATGTGCAGGAGGCACTGGAGGAGTGAAGTTGTGAGGACAGCAACTTCGTAGGTTTGAGGTATACCATAACCATCTTTGGACATTTGAACAGGTTAATTGTGGACAAGAAAAGGGGCTAATCCTTCCTAGAATTACAATCCTTCCTAGTCGGTACTGTCAGCCTGGCTCCTCATCCCACTCCACGCACACAGATGGTAACTACGTCTACATGAGTGCCTAAACTGTGGCTAGATTCACATTGTTAATCTGTCAGTGAGTTGGGGAGCATGCCATTCCCCTGTGACACGTAACTGAGCACCTGCCATATGCCAGGCCTTGTGTTTGGTGCTGGAACTGGGTAGATCCAGATCCTGCCCTCTGGGGATGGACAGACAATAAACTATGAGTAAAATCATGTGCTGGGGCAGAGGCTGTGGGAGATCAGTGGGCCTAGCTGGTGTGGCCAATGCATTTCTCTCCAGCCATGTCTGTTGCAGGCTGCAGGCACCAGGTATGTGGAGAGTGAGCCGGGTGGTGGTGCTGCCCAGGGAGCATGTAGATGTAGAGCTGATGATTTATGCAAAGGAAGGAGTAAAAATGGTGATTGTTGCTCAAAGACTCTAAGCCAGGTGAAAGATAGTGACAAGGGGGACTCTCCATGGATTGGGGGTCACTGGAGGGCCCGAGGGATCCCCAGCTACAGATCCTGCTATGTAACTTTGTGTCACATCTCCTTGTGAATCTCTAAATTCATGAAAATGAATTGTTAGTTGATCAAAATGTAGAAAGCTAAGGGTTCAGAGCTGGGCTCCAGACAGCCCCAGGTGGTAAAACTCAGGCTTTGGGAAGGAGCTGAGTGGAGCCTCCAGGAGTCTGTGGTTGTGGAAACCTCTCCCAATGAGAATAACCCACTGGGGGCCACACTGCACCTGGCTCTCTCCAGGGCCTGCTGCTGCCTGGCCACAGGGTGATGAGTCCTGAGACACACAGGACACACCCATGGTGGTTGCAGGCCTTCCTTCGTGGGGAAGGTGTCAGGAGGATGGGTTGCAGGTGCCAGGATGGGGCTGACAGTAGCTGAGTAATTAGAAAAGGCATTTCATTCTGACATGGGAGGAGGCCAGCAGGGCAGCTATGCTTCACTCAGAGCTGGGGAATTGCTCTGGCTGAATGTTTCAGCCACCTTTTGAGTAAGTACCGCTAGAGGATTCTACCTGTCAGCAGGTGACAGTTCTGGTTGGACCTGTTAGGAAGCCCAGAGTTGGAAGGCCTGTGCCTGAGCAGGGTGAAGGGGAGGGCTGGTCTGGACTTGGAGGTCTGCGTCCTTTTAGCTCCTGCTCCTCCCTGGACCCGATGCAGCTCCAGCCTCAAAGTCCACAGGCAGTTTCTTGCTGTGTGACCATCTCCTCATTCCAATCAGTAACCCTTTCCATCTCAGCAGAATTTATTTTTAGTAACTGTATCAAGAGAAAAGAAAACTTCTTTTAGTAAAGGGGAAAAGTGGGCCTTCTCTGACTATTTGGCGCTAAGAAAGATGACCCACAATACGTCCCTGCTGTAACTCTGTACCTGGCTATTCTGAATCAAGTGAGAATCAACCTGGTATTTGTTAGATATCTGCTGTGGCCAATCTGCACATTCATGGTGCAGTATCTTGCTCTGGTCACCAAGGCTCAAACATCCCAAGCCCTCCC